TTTAACCCTTTTAAATTTGACTAAACCATATGGACACAAAAAAAGTAGTGTCACGTCATTGACCTGATTTGATTAACACAGCTGCAGTCTAATAAGTTCACATCCCTCTCAGCTAGCCACAAACAGCCACAGCATCAGATAGGGAGTATATATTCAGCATCTGTCATCTTAGAAAAGCCAAAAGAAAAGAAACAGAGTGAGACTGTGAGAGAGAAAGAGAGAGCGCACGCGCACGAGAGAAACGCTGTCAACACATTGTAAGTTATTCAATTTTATTTTAACCCGGGAGGTTAGAGAGCCCAGCTCCCTCTCCAGCATCCTGAACCCCCGCGCCTGAAGGTGCAGGAAGGGCTAGTCCCGTGGCTGCACCGGGCTGTCTGGTCTGGCGCACGGGCTGCAGAGCTTCCCCCGGCTGCCCCCGGCTGTGCGGCGGGCTGTGCGGCCGCTGTGCATCCTCCTCCTCCTCCTGACAAGATGATCTTCAGTTTTACGTTCTAAAAGCTTTTTTTTAAAATATACATTTGTACTTGTAGGGCTATAAGTTTACGTCTTTAGTTCACAGAAGCTGGTTATTGTTGTGTTTATGTCAAAATAATGTTCATCAAACGTTTTCACATCTTTGATTTTGTGATTTACATGCCAAAATGATCACAATTCATTTGGGAAAGACAAGTTCATTTTACAGGCTATGCATCATCAGCCCGTGGAGGTCTGCTCGCAGTTCCATATATTCGGACACTGCAGCTTGGACCTCCCAGATTATGATGATCATTAACTGCGATTAGATCGTTCTGATTAATGACTGACCATTAAGATGTGTTTCTGATAAATATTTAAATGTGCACAATAATAACCTTTCACATTGTAATCATATTTTTATTTGTTATGTTTTGCATATGCGTGGCTGCTCCGTGTGTGTCGGAGCAGAGTGCATGCGCATTGTGCACCCGCCTAGAGACGCATATTACTAACTTGTTTAACAGCACAATACTGCGCCGTTGACTTTAGACCAGGTTTTTGTTGGTCACTGGCGCATTTGCTTTTTAAGTCATCTAACTAGCAATGCGCCATGACTGCGCCTGACCACTCCTCATTTTTAGACCAACACACCCAGAGAAGCACAAGTTCATTTGCTAGTTAGACGAAGAGGGCGCAGGGCGTGAAAATGACAACTGCACCTGCATCTAAATAGCAATGACACTTGCGCCATGGATTATGCGCCGTCCGATGGGCCCTATATCTTTAAATATTACAGGTACAGCTGAAAATGACAACAGAAATTTGCAAGTTTGCCAATTTTACATATTTTTTGCAATTATAATCAACTGCCAGGTGTTAACCCAGAAGTGACTGTTATTAGTGCAACCTCATGGTCATTCGGTCCATAAAATATGTCTTTTGAAGCTCCATAGATTCCCAAAAGTAAGAAATAAGTAATTAGTCTGGTTGAAATAAGCCATACTAATTACTATTTCATCAAACTTTAATCTTAATCTATGTTTCAGGATGTTTTCTTGACAGATTTGCAGCCTCCTCAAACCTCAGTGAAGCTGGTAAAGAACTTTAGAAAACACCCACTCACACTGCAGTGTATACCTACAGCATCTCTCTACATACCAGTTTACTCTCACTTTACTCACATACCCTCTCTTTCTCACTTGTTTTCTGTGTGCATGTGTGTATTCTGTATTTCAATAATTCAGCAGCAGGGATGGGGCCGGAGAAGCTGCAGGGCTCACCATGCAGCCTTGGCTAAAGCAAACAGCAGCCCTGGCTCGAGGCCCTGTAGGGTTTTGCTGCAGCTGGTGCAGCAGCCGTGTTTCTGCGAGCATATTAGTTTGTAGACTGTGAGCTTCCATCAAAGCAGCTTCAAGCTAAACAGAGCACAGAGAAGCAAAAGAATGATTCAGTCATTACCGCCCCAACATGAATCAGCTCAGGCTGTTGTTGCAAGGATTTTTTTGCGTGGCATCAATAAATATTTACTTGGTTAGAGGAGTCAAATGTTATGTAGTCATGGCGGTGTTTCGCATCTTTTGTTTTTTGCAGCTGTATTGCATTTAAAATGTGAAAGATGAATCAGGAGAGAACAGAGAGCAGTGTTTCTTTGTGCTGCAGTGTGTGTGTGTGTGTGTGTGTGTGCGTGCGTGCGTGTGCGTTTGTGCATGCGCGTGTGTGAGCGCATGCTTGTACATGATACATGGTAAGGACCAACAAATATATTTTAGAAACAGAGTGAGGACACTTGACATGTGACTATTCTTCTTTTTTCTCTGGTGCAGATGAGAAAGAGGATAGCATCCTGGGAAGTATCCTGTTGCCAAGTTTTCACATCTCCATGTTGTCTGTGGATGACCACATCAGCAGGAAATATGCCTTCAAGGTAAATCACGAGTCTCTAAAGGTCATTTCAGATTTTTTTTTTTCTTTTTTTTTAAACAGTCTTATTTCTATGTTTTTGTTTCTAAAATCAGGATAAGAGTGGTTTATTTAAAGGCTCAAAGGTACACTCTTGAAATGAGAAGACATGTATTAATCACATGTCTGTGTATTGAACATAGAGCTTGAGTCAGGGCGTGGTTACCCATACCTTAGCTTAGGTGCTGGTAAGAAAAATTTTGTGACTGAACTTTACGTGAGTATCATGTTGTTTAGTCACGCATGTCAAAGTGAGCTAGAGGGGATCCAGGGGCCTCTCCCCTGGATTTTGTTTTTAATGGTGAAATGTGTTGTATACTGGCCATGTATTTTATCCCTGGCAAAGGCACCAATTTATGCATGAAAAGTATAAAATACAAAAAATATGCTACTAGTGATTATGACAGAGTTTGCCCCAAGAGTTATTCCAGCAGCTTTATTTGGCTGGAAGATATCTGAAATGACCACAAGACATGAGAAGAGCTATATATAGACACATATTTATACACAGTTGTAGATGTTGAAATATGTTTAATTAAATGCTTTCCATACCATGTATGCTGTCACTCCTGCATGTGGGGACAGATGTAAAATGTTAATAATAATCAGTGTTGGGTAAGGGTTACTTTAAAAGTAATCAGAGTGCGTTACTGCGTTACTTTTTAAAAAAGTAACCAGTTACTGTACTGCGTTACTCCCTGAGTAAAGTAACTCAATTACTTTAAAATTACTTCCAACGTTACTCCCTGAGAAAAGTAACTCAAGCACTTTTAAAGTACTTTTGATTATTCTACATTTCCTATTGGGCAATGGACCACAGGGCGCTATGCCTACATTTTTTTTGCCTCCAAAATTAAAGTTATGGACCACTTGCCCTTCACTGAGATCCAATTCTCCCATCACAGCCGTCACTTTGACCAGTAGAAACACAGAACGATCTGCTGCCGTAGACAGCTGTATGACAACAACACCCCAGCGTTTTTAATATTTCCTCTAGGGATGTTACCACACACAGTAAAAGGGGGAAATGATGGTGTGAAACAGCAGAGGCATTTTGTCATCCTGCTGAGTTAACGTTACTGTCATTAGCATCAAGCTAGCAAACAATGGTACATCTTCACGGTCGGACATAAAGTAATAACATTAACAAATAGCGGCGGGGCTTTTACTCACCACAACTGCAGAGGCTTCCAGCTTCATTTGAAACAAACTACATTATAGACTGTCCATTATTTATTAATCCCTCTGTGTGTTTATATATTTACTTTTTATCCGCTCTGTTGTCTTTATAAAGTTAACATATCGCACCGTCATTTCAAACTCAACACTTGTTTCAAATTAAAAACCCCTTATAACCTAGGCTGAGAGAATAAATAGGCCTTTATTCTGAAACATTTGTCAGAACTTCCTGTGGAAGTGTGTTGCTATGTGTGGTATTTATTCAGTTATGGGAAATCACGATGTCTAGAAAGCATCAGACTGCAGCTGACAGGGACAGCTAACAGCGGCAGCAAAGCTAACATCGGGACGTCATCTGCTAAAAGCCTCCCGTTGTTGGATACGACATGAAACTACTCCAGTTTGCTCAACCATGTTGTAAAGACATCCGCTGGACAGATTCTACAATGTAAATTGCAGAATCTGTCTTGAGAGATTAGGTGACTACAACAACATGTCGGCTGGCACATGAACAGACAGAGTTCTGGCAGTGACTCAAATAATAGTGAAAGTAATAAAAATAGGACAAGAATAACCCGATGACATCACACACGCCGTGAAAGATGACCGGGGATAATTGGTGAGTACCAGCGTGTAGCATGTACCAGGCATAATGCAAGTCCTGAGTCTGAAATATGTCTGTCAGCGAGTCCTCCTCCACCTATTTAGACTCCATCGTAGACAACGGCAGCATTTCTCCGACCACGTAGCGAGCGACAAGCTCCGTGGTTTCTTTCAGACTGATAGGTTTAACGTTATCTCCGTTATTAGAACCAAAGACAGCCGTTGCTATTTTGGAGCTGAAGGACCAAATTTTTGAGGAGACTGCTGACTGTATGTATACCTGAAGGAAGGGAGTTCCATACTGTGGAAGCCACAACTTCAAAGGCAAGATCATCTTTTGTTTTGAGTGTGGAGCTAGGAACGGCCAGTTGGTCCTGGTCCGAAGATCTAGGAGACCTACTGACAATATAGGGATGGAGGAGATCACTAGTGTATTCAGGTCCCTGACTTTGGAGGGCTCTATAAGTATGTTAAAATGAATCCCAGACCTTATGGGAAGCCAGTGAAAAAAAATAAAATGGGAGTGATGTGGGCTGACCTGCTGGACCTGGTTAACAGCCTAGCAGCAGGGTTTTAGATTATTTGAAGACAGTTCCAAGATGGTTTGTTCAGGCAAGTAAAAAGAGAGTAACAGTGGTCCAGTCAGGAGGACACAAAAGCATGGATAATCATCTCTTGTTCAGGTCGAGACACCACAGACCTGAGCTTTGCAATATTTCTTAGTTATATGAAACAAGTCAGTGATTTAACATAATGATCAAAATGCATGGCCTAATAAAAAATAACAATATGATTCCTAAAATTTGACCGCTCTGGAATGCTCTGAATGCTCTGGGCAACCTTTGAAGCTATACTATCTGATGTAATTATCAGAACCTCCATCTTGTCTGTGTTTTATTGTAAGTAGTTGTAGTTGTTGTTGTGTAGCATAACAGTGATATGATATACCTGAGAACTGGCTAATAATGTGATCTAGTTGAAGCATGTATAAAGCAAATAATATAGGACCTAAGACAGAGCCCTGAGATACACCAGAGTTACATCTCGTGTTTCAGGTAAAACACAGAAGTTACCTACATAAAAACTGTATCCAAATCTTTCAAGAGGTTTTTGAGTGATGATGTCAAAACGTGGCGGATGTTGCTGTCATTTTGAGACAGATTATTATTATTTTTCAAATTAACACCTGTTAATATACATGAAAGTACTATATACAAAAATGTAGCACCTTTATAGGGATAGCCCAAAATTATTCAGTGGAGATTTAGTACAAAATTTGGCCAAAAAAAAAAAAAAAATAATAAATTGGTGTCTCTTGCAACTAACAGAAAAGCCAGAAACAGCACCGTTAAATTTGGCATAGAGTCAGCAATAGAATTGTTCTGTATACTAAAAGTGTTGCTGGTGTTTTAAATCTTCAGATGTTTTCCTTTCTCCATGCACCTTGAGAGTAAGTGAAGTTGTGTGGGGGAAATGTGTTTGGTCACTTATTTAATTTTTTTTCCATGGCCCTCACTTTTTTTTTCATAATTGAGAGACTCCAGTCTGACCAGAGAGGGGATGTATGGATTTTTTTACAAAGCAGTTTCATTCTCTTAAACATCTGTAACACAATGTCCATGATGGTCGAAAAAACGGTTGTCTCCAGGAACAACAATCAGGTGCATCGTGATGCAAACATCCAAGAGAGGTTAATTATCATTCTCTCTGAGATGTTTGTATCACCACCTCCATTATGTCCTTAGCATATTGATGATTAATAATCCCACATGAAAAACATTTTTCTTATGCTGTGTGTGTTTTAAAATATGTGTACTGCTGATGTGAGAATCTTCAAAACAATGCTATACTGTGTGCCCTTGAGTAAAGTGCTTCATCCAGTGCCATTTTCCTGCTGTTGCGTTCAACCGGTAAAAATATGGACAGTGACTCTCTACCACTGCAACCCTGCAGGAGGGTGTATTATCCTGAAATTCTGTCAACGTGATTCAAGCATGCTGCCACCTAGCGTCTACATTTATGAAGTACAGCCCACATGTATTACCCCTACTACCGCCGCTGCGTCACAGCCTTAAAACAGTAAAAACGGATAAAAGGAGATTTGAGGCAGGCTATTTTTAGGGCACCTTTTCTAGCTCCTTTCCCGAGTGGGGTGAGCAGAGCAGATCCTACATAGGGCTGCTCAATTGCAGGTGCGACTACCAAAGGGCTCTTTCTGCCTCAAGAGCCCAGCAGCAGAATTTAGCACCCACCGCCTGATATGCTGGACCAATTTTAAAAACTGTTGTTTCAATTGTCGCTTACAGAAAAAAACAATGAAGAATAGGGTCTAGGTTGAAAACAGTAAAGTAACTCTTTAATACAGACATGAGATTATTTTCCAAAATGTTTAACTGTTCCTTTAAAGTTGCAATTCAGTCACAGTGAACTTAATTTCCTCCTTAGTTTATGCAGTGAAAACTGAAGAGTAAGGACTTGAATATTGGAGATAGTGTACCGAGTCCCACTACTCCACATGCACAGCATAATCAAACAAACACTGTACACACACAGGAAGGCTTTAGTTAGGCAGCTCAGTGTCAGTCTTGTTTATTCAGTTTTACTTCTTGCCAACATACAGAGGAGCCTTGAAGACTTTCACCCTTCTGTGTTTTCACATTTGAGCTGTAACACACATGGAGAGACAGGCAGGAGGCACGCACACACACACACACACACACACACACACATTCCTGCTGTACACAAAATCCTACTCTTCTGCCAACAGGGATGATGTAAAGATGCAAAGATCTGGTATCTCAAGGTCACCATCACACTGCTGTTTCATCTTCTCCTCTCTCTACCTGTGTCTCCTCCCACTCCTCCTTCTATTTATCTCCCTCTCACTGTCAATATCTCCCCTCCCTTCCTACACTGCTAGGCCACTCACCCAAACATGCGGACGTATTATTTCTGCACTGACACAGCCAAAGAGATGGAGTCCTGGATGAAAGTCATGACAGATGCTGCCCTCGTCCACACTGAACCAGTCAGAAGGTGGGTATTCACCACGATGACATGCCCACACACAGATGGTTGAAAAAAGGAAATTTAAGTCACCAGGGTGAAACATATATTCATATTCACCAGATTAGAGAATTATAATATGCATGCAGTATTTCATCATGTTTCTAGAGTCCCTCTAAATGCCTCTAAAAGCACCTACTTAAGAGTTTCCTCTTATTCATGAAGACAGGAGCCAGCCCCTTAACTAAGGGATGGACAAAGTTGAGCTTGTTGTCATGGATGATATTGTGTTTTAAAAAGAAGCTTAGCATTCACAACTGATCATTTTAATTGAGCAGCAGAACCATAATTTAAAAGGGAAGAATGAGTGAAGCGAATTTAAAAAACAGCCAAATAACCCTGTGAGTGTGAGTGTGTGTTTCCTTCTGTCCGCAGCTAATTTTGCAAACTACTGGACTAATCAGCCTAATATTTTGTTTGCATATGTATGTCAAAAACCTGTTTTGACTGTTTTATACTTTCACTGACTCCTCACTCCTCTTACCTAGCCGGTAGGGGCTGGAAGTTCTCCAGAAATCACAATCCTTACCGTCCATTGCAAGACACATTTTGGCCTTCATCATGGCTTAAAACTTACATCCATAGAAAAGTTTGGTGTCATTTGGAGTCAAGGCATCTGCAAATTACTTTCATACTCAATGTGTTATAATCCACTAAAGCTGGGCATGATACGAGATGATTTAGTCACCATTTTTGTTGTTTTCACATTCATCTTTACTGTGAGGGAACCAGGAGGTAACAAAGTTTTGTTCCGTCCTCTGCACTGCATCATACCACACCGGGAGTGTTTCAGAGGCAGAGTTTTTGCCTGCCTGATTTTGTAGACTTGCAGATTTTGTTGATTTGGTCATTTTTCCATGATATCCATGCTTCTACCATAAGTAAAAAAAAGTATCTTAAGAACGCCTTGAGGGGATTTTTACTACTCTAGTTGGACTCAACAAAAAAATGATTTTGGTGGTCAACAGCCAAGATCAGTGTGACCTTGCGTCTGACTCATTCTTATGAACACAATATCTCAAGACACAAACATCCATTTGGACTGAAGAATAAACTGATAGACTTTGGTGGTCAAAGGTCATTGTGACTTCACACAATAGGTTTTTGGCCATAACTCAAGAATTCTTATGACAAAACTTCACACAAATATCTAATAGTATATGACGAAGTGATGATGTTTTATGTCCATAAGTTTAACTCCTGTGACCAAAAAGTCAGCTTCGCTGTGACATCATGATGTTCCACATAAAATACTTTTCTGGCCATTATTCAATGTCATATCTCAGGAACAGAAGGGGAGACATTTTAGTCTGATACTTGACGCTAATCTTGGGTGTCCACCTTGAAACTGTGCTGATTGTATACGTAGATCCACTGTGTGTAATACATCCATGTTTTTACAGACATGGATGTAAAATTTAAGAAAACCACGGGGCTGTAGTTCTAGTTTGGTTTGTTTTAATTGTGTTTATTGCTATTATTTCTTACTTTGTTGTGCTGTAGCCTACAGACATAGTTAATATAAGTCCAGTTATGAACAAAATGGGTCAAAGATTTGTGGCTGTGTTTTACTCATCAAAATACATCCTCATAATTATATTATACCTGGATTTCACATACAGTGCTTGTTAGCAGAAGAAATTGATCTGCTCTATGCAATGCACCACAGCTTTGTCAAAAATAGATAAGGTGTGTATTTTTATTAGTTTCTGGGACACTTCTATAGCCAGAGGCGATTGCTCTGAGACAACAAGGGAGGCTGAACTTCCCCTAAAATTTCATAGAAGAAATGGTCAAATATGCACTATTAAATTTACATTAAAATAAGAATTTACATTGCATTAAATGTGTGCTAGGATGCGTTTCACATTATGATTATGATGTTCAAACGTCAGCTGTTTATCACCAGTTTTCAAACGCGACCTCCCTATCATACATTATCGTGTCAGCTCAGTGGACGCGGAGCCTCCAAGCATTCCTATGAAAAGCACTGAGCAGGTTTTTTTCATGCAGCAAAGCGAGATAGTCATTGGATAAATGTGACAAAATCGTCACTTCCAGGCTCAGCTTCCCTGGGACCTAAGGTAGGCGGGAGAGGACGCTCGGTATATGCATGATGATTGGAGGAATTGTCTAAAAGGCTGAACCCCTTTGTGACTGACAGCCCTTTTGAAATACACACCAACATCATCACATTTCAAGCTCAGTCCCATGCAGATATTTGCGAGTGGAGTCTTCTGACAGAGTGCCGTCAGGAGTTCCTTATTTCCATAAGCCATATTGCTCATTTTCACCGTTCGTACAGTACACACACAACACACACTGTAAATAAAGACATAAACGTTGCGTTATTGAGTTTGTACCCTCTTTAGTGTTGTAAGTTAGTTTGTTTGTTCGTTGAATCACAAAGCTGTAGTTCCAGGGGGGCAACTAGTCTGCTAGTTAAACCAGCCCAGCACAATGGCAGACAGTGCTGCTAAAGGAGGGCAGAATTCATATATAAATAAATCTGTGTTTCAGTAATATTTGAAAATGTTCAGAGAATTATATATATATAACACTGTTTGTTACCTGGGCCAGTGTTAAGGTGCTGCTCCTTTCAGGGAAACTTATTTTGAGAGAAAATCAGTTCTGGTGGTGTAGACACGGTTCAGGTGTTTAAACACATCTGAAAATCTTTGAGGTGTGTTTTGCTGTGGTTCTGTGGCATGAGTGTGGTTGAAAAACGGCTTCAATTAAATGTTCCATTTATAAGTTACTGTCTCGCAACAATATGACAAATTTTATGATGTAAACTTAAAGTGAGCATCCCCTGTTTGAAAGACCAGCAGCCACCACTTTCTAAAGCGTGCTATGTCACGTCTTCTAAAATTACAAGAATTGTCCGGAGTGACTGCGATCAGCTCAAGCAGCAGCCTGGCAGAGATCTTCACTCTGCTGAGTGCACTTTTCCAGTTTTAAATTCAATTTTCCTCTCAAGTTATAACACACCCCTCTGTCCAAGAACTTTTTTGTATCTTGCCAGGAAGTAAATTATTTCTTGCTTCACACATTGTTTGTGCAGTTTTAAACTAATTAAATTGTTAGTGTGCTCCTGATATCCAACATAGTGTAGTCCTTATGGCTGTTTTTGTAGTATGCATAATGATTGTACGGTGCTTTTCTAAGTGTTGCCCCGTACCTCCACACACTCATTAAGATATGATAATATAAGTGAATTCAGCATTTTTCTTTGTCAGGTGTTTGTCGATACATTTGTTTAACTCTGTTTTGAGCAGTCCATGTTTTTGTTTTCTGTTCACAAAGTGAACTATTATGGCTGTTTGTTTTTTTGTTGTTGTCTTGTTTTTTTATTCTGAGGGAGAGGGTGGCACATCTCAATGTCACTGTTGCCCATGAAATTTCCTTTGTTACGTAAGGGGGCAATTACCTATTGCTCCAGGGAGTCCAGATCAGGCTTGGTGGGCTGTCCACTGTACCTAGTACCCGCCTGGGCATAAGACTGGAACCTAGTCTCCAACCAAAGACAATGATGTTGTTCATGCATGTATACTGCTCCAGGTCTGCCACTCCAAGAAGGCCATCCTTTTATCATTTTCAGCATTTTGTCTTCCCAGCTCCTTAACGTTCCTCCTAAAATCTACTTTTATTTTATGCTGCTTTGAGATAGTTGCAATTACTCCTCTAGTAAACTTGAGCAATTTCTTTCTCTCCTCAACCTCATCATCCACAGTTGCCATGTCATGTGCAGTAGGAAGAATTACAGCAGCCACCACATGCAGTGATACAGCTAAGGCTAAGCTAACAAGCCAGGCTAGCTAGCATGCTCACCAGCTTCTTCTTTTAAGTCAGTATTCCACAACCATTGTTAGTCAGGCAATGGTAAAGCTTAATCCTGTTGTTGAAACACTGAGGTTCGAAATCCAAATTAGTTGTCTTTCGCGAAAATACTGTCAAAATGTTATGGATGAGAGGCATGGAAAAACACAGATACAGCAACACAACTGCAAGGAACTATAGGAAAGTATAATAATTAAACATGCTGCTGTAGACTATAGTAGTGTCAGCCTGTTTGATTCATGCATATTGTATCTGAATTCAGAACTATTTTGATTTATTGTTGGCCCCCTTTTCACTAAATTAGCTCTAATTCTTGGAACAGTTCTGTTTAGGATTCTTGTAACTTTGGTGCTATACAGTGAACCAGCTTGCGTTTCCACTAGTTTTGCGCTGAACCATCGTAATCAAGAATGCGTCATCAATAGAGAGCATTGAAGAAAGCACAACCAAAGTAGTGGCAATTTCATGGATTACATTGATTACCTGCTAGTTCCTAGCCAGCATTTTTATGTGGGGCCCATGTAGTTAGTAAATGGGCTGAAAAATGCTCTATATAGGACTGTCCACAGGTTCCACTTGGGCCTTGTGACATTTGCCCACATGGGTGGGTTTACCCGAGTGGGCCTCAGATATGATGCCCATTTCAGACCCATACGTCCTTTTTACTCAGGCAGCCGTAGCATGACCCATGTGGGGCCCACTTGGGCAAACCCATCCATGTGGGCAGATTGAATGGGGCCAATATGGAACACATGGACAATCCAATATAGGGTCCATTTACTACCCACTTGAGCCCCACATACAAATGTTGGTTGGGTTTTTGTTCTGTCATTACAGATATAAGTTTTACCCAAAAAACAAGATTGGACAAACAATTAATATGACCACTGCATACTCTCTTTTTTTTTTGTTGTTTTTTTTTGATGATTCCTCACTTGACTTCTCTGCTGTTGCCACCTTCATCCTCTCTTTGCAACCTGTAGAATATGACAAGCCCACTAATGTCATGATGGCTCAGACTTAAGGTCAAGGCGAACCTGCAATATTTTTTCAGCTGTGAACCAGCTTTTCAGTTTCTGAACCATTTTATTTTTGGTTGAAATGCTTGGAACTGTTAAGAATAGTTGCAGGAACCTGAATGGAAGTAGCTCCATGTTGGTGGGAAAGGGGTTGTTGAAGGCATTTATATATTTTCAGATAGTGGTCAATTGTACCTATTGCCCATCTATCAGTCCCAATCTTGCGATCGCAATAATTAATGCAGATTCAACGAAAGTCTGCAATATTTGTGGGGGCTTGCAATTTTTCAAAAGTCCTGCGATTTTTCCGCATTTTTCCGCATTTTCCTGCTGACCAGAAGTCGTCACACATGCAGCGTCATTTGAAACGTCATCAGGCGCGTTATCAAATCTCGCTAATGCTATTGCAGTATGGAGAAATTTTTTGTATTGACATAAGAATTTGCACTGTTTAAATGCATACAATATGTGTTGAATTTATTATGTTTACAGAAGATGTAGCTTACATGTTGTTTTACAGTCACATTGTCTGGTTTTAGAGCTACAATATTCACTCAGGATTTTTTGCAACATTATTGGAGTACATGTTTTGAAAAGAATTGAATAAAACTTAAGAGAACTACAAAAAACATTTGCAGTTATTTTTGTAATATTCAGTATGATTATTATAGCAAGTGATTACATGACTTGTTTTTTTGGAGGTAGTAGTTTAAAAAAAAATCTTTTTTTTTTCTCCTTTTGTCATTAGCCATAATTTAGGTCATTTGCCACAATTTCGAAATTTCCGAAAAAAAAATCACATAAAAATGCTACAATTTTTATCGCAATTTTTGTCAAAATTGGCTGCAAATTCAAGGTTTTTTTTGCCGCAAGATCCTGGAGGGAGTGATCTATACAATCATCCAGTGTTTCCAGTGAGTGTAACACTGCAGTAGATAGTCATAAGTTTAAAATCTTGGGTATAATAATATGGGTATAATATAAAGTTATTCCTATAGGAGCGGCCATAATTCTTCACTGTTGTCATCCCAGTGTCCTGTAGGAACTAAATCCCTCCTGCACTGTCACAGGTGTCTCACAGAGATAAGAAACCTCTCAGGCTTCTCAGAAGTGAAAGGCATGAAGGGAAGGGTGACAGAGAAAGAGGGTCTGTCAGACAAACACAAGACTTCTGACACCCAAGTTATCTTTGACATATCTTAGAGAACTTTACTCTTTCCTTTCCTCTTTGGCATATTCTTCTCTTTCTTTCTCCCCAGACTGGACAAGTTGAAAGTGGATCAGCGGACACCTCAAGAGATGAACAACTTACTGAACCACAGAGTCCTAACCCGGCCCGAGATCCAGAACAATGAGCGCAACCGTGAGCCTGCGCGACAACACTCACTATCCCGAGTTGATGACAAACGGCAAAAAGACCTAGAGAAACACAACTGTCAGAGAGAGCATGAGTACTACACCTTACAGAGAGATGGTGAGAAGTACTCCCTGAAGAAAGAGGGTGTGAGCTACATGCTTCAGAAGGATGGAGAGAGGTATCTCCTTCACAAAGATGGAGAGAAGTACATGCTGCAAAAAGACAGGGAGAAACCCTCGCTGCAAAAAGAGGAGGAGGTTTATACAATTCACAGGGATCTGGAGAGGTATGCTGTTCAGAAGGTGGATGAAAAGTGCACTGTGACGCCAACAGAGGAGAAATATGCTCCATCTAAAGATGGAGAGAAGTACCTGCTCACGAAGGATGGAGAAAAATATGCACTGCAGAAAGTAGGAGACAGGCACACACTTCAGAAAGATGGACAGAAATATGCTCCCCAGAAAGAGGTGAAGAGACAGCTGTCACTAAAGGAGACAGAGAGGTATGGCATACTGAGGGAGACAGAGAGTAAATATGGTACCATCCAAGTTGTAGACAAATACGGCACTCTGAAGGAGGTAACGAAATACAGTACGCTACGAGAAGGGGATAAGTACACTGCTCTCAGAGACACAGGGAAGTATGCTACAATCCGCAGCGGGGATAAATATGGCCTTCAGAGAGACCCAAGTGCAGAGAGGTCTCTGACTAAAATAAGCAGCATCAAGCTACAGCCAGCTCAGGCTGCCGCCATTGCAGCTGCAGTGTCTGCATCTCGTCAGGGCCAGGCCAACCTCAGTGTCCAAAGCCCTGCACAGGTCAATGGCTCAGGGTCTACAGCAGGGGAGCAGACTGGGGACTGCAGCTCAGCAGAGGTGGACAGCAGTCTGACCACGGGTCCAGGAAAATCCCCTGCTCCAGTCCAGGAGCCAGAGAAAGGCCTGTCCAGGACCAACTCCATGCAACAGCTGGAACACTGGGTCCGCACACACAGGACAAGAGGACTGGATGATGACACAAGGAGGTGAGACTCAGTGACCATTTGGTCACATGTGCAGGGCTTAAAGTACTGATGATATTTTTGTAGATTTCCTGCTTGACGGACATTTCTAGTATTTTTTTATTTTATTTTTTTGTGGCAACAACTTGGCATAAGTTAGCATTTAACGAATCATCTTCTGATTTTCAGCGAAGCACATGGGTAGTTTCACCAATAGTATAGTGTTATCAAACTCAGCTGGCCAATAAGAGCTGAGTGGGGAGGGTCTAAAAACAGCATGTACACACACACGGACACACGGGCTGCGTCCGAAAGGCCAAGTAGTATGGATTGTAGTAGACCAAATTAGTATGTAGTATGTCCGAAACCGTAGTAGGGAGGAGTAGTATGCTACCACCCCTACTAAACACGCCTACATTGTAGTATGATGGCAGAGCATACTGCAGGGCTACTACTTACCCAAAATGCACCACGGGCTTCTTCTTCATCTTTTACTTCATTGTAGACGTTGCACGGCATGTTACCGCCATCATCAGTCTCCTATTTAAATGCAACGTGCAACAAGCTAAAGATTTCAGTTGCACAAATATACAATTATCAACACATCAACACACACAGTTTTCATTGGTCAAAAATGTATTTCTGCTATTATGTTTATGAACAAAGTGGTCTGTATTAAGTTAGTTTGATATTGGACATTCACATTCGTTTGACATTCAAAAGACAACAACAAACAACAATAATAAAATAAATAATGATAATAATAAATACTAGTACTGTTAAAACAAATGATGATTAAGTTTGGCATAATGAAAGTACATCATGGCAGAGCAGTTTTATTGGATGTCATTGTACTGTGTGAGGTGACAGGTGTTCAAAGTGACTCAGCCTACACACATGACAGAATGTGCTGGTGGAAATGCTGTATCTAGATATTGATATTCAATGAACTAATCACTTGATTGACACATGATGTTAGCATTGTGACACTTATGAGAAGTGATGATGGTTGTCATCACCATAACAGGTTGGATTATTTCAAAAACAATATAAAGGATCTTCAAATTGCAAAGGTTAAGTTTTTGAGTGTGGCATGTCATGTCATTGCTTACCTGTGGCAGTGAATTAATTATTATGTGCAAAAGGAGGCGTCTGCGAGCTCTGGCTCGCCTCGCATTTTGCATGTTGAGAAGCATGAGAGAGCTTGCAGACATGTTGCTGGTGGGTAGAGTGGCCAGCTTCATTTTTGGGCAATTTCAATAGTCACAGGTGCGTTCAGATTTTGGTGCAGTACCTCTGCTCTGCCAGCAGATGGGGTGCTAGGGGAAACACTGCATGGCATGCTGTTTTCTCTTATTGTCCGATAGCTGGCGGTCAAGCTAACACAAGATAATCATTCAGGATATATCATTCAGGATATAGTGATGATCACCATGAATCAGTTTAAATAGTTTTGCTTTGAGTGTTGCAGTGATGGATGTGCCAAGAACAGACTGGGTTATTGCAGGTGGTGCAGTAAGCACATCCTCTTAAGTGCCTTTTTCCACTGTTTTTGTTGAACTACTACTTTAGGTCCTGGGCAGTGCCAGCCCGTGGCATAGGCAGTATAGGTGAATGCTAGTCTGGGGCCGTTAGTGGCCGTTTTGGTAAGGAACCGGAACCAGGGCGAGTGAGACAGAATCCGGAATTCGATGGATGCGCCTTTCCGTCAAAATTAAAGCACCAAGCTAATTCACCAAATTCACCAAAGAAAAAGTGTTCACCAAAGTAAAACTTTAAATTCTGGCGCACCATCGATTTGGGGTGATGAGGGGTGTAAGAAAATCGATTAACTTAATGGCTTGGGGCTTTTCTTGTAAATTATAAACTTTAATTTAAAGAATATACTTTACAAGAAAAGCCCCAAGCCATTAAGTTAAACCAATTTGGTGAATTCTGCATCCGCTCTCTAGACCGGAACCAGAATCCAGAAAATTCAGAGTGAATAGAAATGCGAGGCTAGGTGAATGCCAAGGGTGCCGTCATCCATAGGGAGGGCCACAAATGGAGGAAGAAAAAAAAAAAATCAAAATGTTTGTCTATTTTGTACTATTTTTTTACGAACACTATTACTACTCTTTCTTTTTTTAATTAATACACAAGGCCACAACAATGGAACTACATAGCAAAACCTGTTAAATAATAGAGAGGCCTTTTTTCTGGGTTCCTGCCACCCTGGCCCAGCTACTTACATTTTACCTGCTCTCTGGGGGAGATGGGCGAGTTATCTGATGCCACGTGAACCCTGAAACACACTGTATCGCTATAATGTCGAAATGACAAGAGCTCTCTGGTGCCCAATCAACTACCGCTATGCTACTGAGAGGAGTGTATGTGGAGAGAAAGAACATGAAAAACCAAAAAATCCATGTTCAAAATGGCAGGAACAGAGCTAGAATTTAGTAGTAAAATTTAGTACTGGGCAAAGGTAAATTATAATGTTCTCATAATGTGTTCAATTTAATCTTGTTAAATGTAGCTTTTTGTGAGAAACTTGAATAAATCCAGCTGTGTGAAGGAGAAATGTGTTGATGTTTTCACAGCACTATAAAATAGGTACTAGAGAGGGAATTATGATGTATCATACAAAGTAAAAAGGCTTTTTGCTTATTTTAAAGATGTTTTTCATGTGAAAGACAGTTATGTTAAAGGTTGTTTCATAAATGTGTATTATTGAGTTTTTGCTCATTCAAAGGTTGTGTGATGAAGGACTAAATGACTTTAAACACCTCATTTTTTAATAGTATAGATTTCTGTGCTGCTCTTGTGAAACAAAAGAGGAATACATAACAACAAAAAAACAAAAGAAACACCAATATTAAAGCATCGCTATTGGCTATTGGTGATGTTGTTGTTTTGAACATTGGTGTGAGTATTGGCGCAGCCAGGGGCGGAAATCCTGGGGGGGACAGGGGGGACATGACTCCCCCTTCAATAAAGCTGTACCCCCCTAGAATAATTTGAGGCACAATTAATAATTTTTGAACAATGCAGTAGTATTTATTAAAAGCACAATGTAAGCGGTGCTCATTATAAAAGCGCAATAATGTGCTATTTAAATCTTAAAAGATTCAGTCCCCCCCTCCCATTCCAAGTAGTGGTATATCCCACACTCTTTCCAACAGGCGGGGCTAGCAGCCGTTAGTAATTGGCAGCAGTTGCAGCGTGTGGCTGGACCCGGCTCCCCACATCGCACGGGGTAAGATGTACACTCACACAGATACAGTTTAACTTACACAAGTTACAACACATCCCATTTACTGTTACAACAAGCCCCAGGCCCAGGCTGATAATATAAACTGTCTGCAACATTTCTCCTGCATTGTTCAAAAGCCAGAGTTTAGTGATAGAGAGGACAGGAGAGAAAGAAGAGGGAGAGGACAGGACAAGAGCAGTCAGTGATGGAGCGGCTCGTAGTTAATATCTGTAGGCTCTCCACCTGTCAGTGAGACACACATGAGAGACGTGCAGTTTAACTGATGAGGAGCGGCCATTACGCGCGATTATTACGCACGGTTTTGAGGTGCACAGCGGCAGATCTCGCAGCACACTGTTTATAAACCAGTTCACCAGTTTAACTGCAGGAAATGTTTATCTCACTGCTGGTAAAAAAACAAAAAAAACAAACAAAATGGTTTGCTCCTGCAGCCAGCCAGAGACGAATTCCATTCCACACACCTGAGCCAGATGAAAAAGAGGGAGAGAAGGAGAGAGATCGAGTTTCTGTCTTTGATGAAGCCTTATTGTTTTGCTGCTATTAAACAATGAGAGACATGTTTTCTCCACTTACTTAATAGCATAAATATTCACACTACTGTGCACGGGGAGACAGAGACCTGTTCTGCTCCAGACACACTCAGCACCTTGGACAGCACGGGGCACCTGACTGTTGTCGTTGTGTACATGTTAATTTGATTTCAGTCATTTTGTTTTAAATCTGGACATGTGCAGGTGGACTCAGCCATTGCTAACAAAGGTCCTATGCCTGCCTGTTGGAGAGATAGAGAAAAGATTAAAGCGTCAAATTGCAGTAAAAGATGCTGTATAAAAGACAGGGTACAACTTTTTTTCCTTGCCCCCCCCCCTGGAATTATTCTCTAAAATTGTATTGTTTATTGTCCCCCCCAACTATGAAATGGGATTTTCGCCCCTGGGCGCAGCGTTTCAAAATCGCAGCATCACTAGTTCAATTAGAAAGTCAATTTGTACATTTTATTATTATTTTAGAATGTAATATATTGTAAGTATTGAAAAGAAAATTGTATAGAAAAAAAGTGCAAATTCCAACCCTACACTCTGTCATTCATGTTTTCGATACACATTCTTTCTTTGCTACAAACTCAAGTTGACCTCAAGAACTCAAGATTTAAAACCTTTTTTATGCCTCTGGACCAGCAATAGCTGTGGCAAAAGGCATTATGTTTTCAGGTTGTCCATCTGTCTGTACATACAGTACAGGCCAAAAGTTTGGACACACTTTCTCATTCAATGCGTTTTCTTTATTTTCATGACTATTTACATTGTAGATTCTCACTGAAGGCATCAAAACTATGAATGAACACATGTGGAGTTATGTACTTAACAAAAAAAGGTGAAATAACTGAAAACATGTTTTATATTCTAGTTTCTTCAAAATAGCCACCCTTTGCTCTGATTACTGCTTTGCACACTCTTGGCATTCTCTGGATGAGCTTCAAGAGGTAGTCACCTGAAATGGTTTTCCAACAGTCTTGAAGGAGTTCCCAGAGGTGTTTAGCACTTGTTGGCCCCTTTGCCTTCACTCTGCGGTCCAGCTCACCCCAAACCGTCTCGATTGGGTTCAGGTCCGGTGACTGTGGAGGCCAGGTCATCTGCCGCAGCACTCCATCACTCTCCTTCTTGGTCAAATAGCCCTTACACAGCCTGGAGGTGTGTTTGGGGTCATTGTCCTGTTGAAAAATAAATGATCGTCCAACTAAACGCAAACTGGATGGGATGGCATGTCG